CCAGTTTCTGGATTTGCCAATCCAAATATTTGTTAATGAACTGTTATTTGACCAGTGTCCAGTAGATGATGCTGTTTCTTTGAGGAACATTTGAAATTGGCAGCACCCTAAAAGAGCTCTAGTGTCTTCCACACCTTCTTGTTAACTATTAGCATACTTAGAAAACTTCACCACTCAGTTTGAATCACTGTTACTTTTCTCTGCCTTCATTTGTAACTTTAACAAAGCAGCATTTCTGCATGAGTCAGTTGGACCACTGGCCTTTGGCTGACTAAATGGCCCAACCCAGAAAACACTAGCCAAAACGTGTTAGAAGATGGCTTAATGTATGATGAGGCATGTTGAGGGTGGAGGGATTCATTGCCTCAGGCGCAGGATAAATTCCAGCAGCTCTGGCTGTGCTTAAGTCCAACAACACTGAGATGTCTCAACATGCTGCACCCAGGATCAGCTGTCTGTGTAGATGTTCAAACATTACACAAGAAACATTGAGAAAGGTAGAAGGCAACCAAACTGTTACTCAAATACCTGCCTTTTGTGCACTCTAGCCCATTAAACAGAACTATTTGAGACAAATGGCCCACATTAAAGTGTGATCATGACACAGAGACAGTTCTATGGGGACCGTTTTGAGTGCTCATATGTGTGAAATTGTCTTTTTTGAAATGTCCATTGTTCAGTGGAATGTAAGGGGGGCTGAACTGTGATTTTATATGGGTGTGGATTGTTTTGAATGGATTTGTGAATTAAATTTAGAATAAGTTTTATTTCACCAGGTATGTTATACATACAAGTAATTTGTACCTCAGGCTAAGTGCTGATGCACAAAATCCTTCTATTCTGGTTTTATTAGATTTTAGTGCAGCGTTTGATACCGTTCACCAAAAGATTTCAATCCAGCGTCTTGAATGCTGGGCCAGTCTCTTGTGCACAGTTTTAGAATGGTTTAAATCATATTTAAGTAATAGACAATTCATGGTTTCACTTGGAAATCATTCATCAAAAAGATTTGGCATTTCTTGTGGAGTCCCTCAAGGTTCATTTTTAGGGCCTTTGCTTTTCTCTTTGTACATGCTACCTCTAGGTTATGTCATTAGGAAGCATAATCTAAATTTTCATAGCTATGCTGATGGTACCCAGTTATACATTTCCATTCCATTAAAGAAAATTTTTCTACAATTAAATCACGAAAAAACTTAAATACTGATTGTTGGTACAAAAACTCAGAGGAAGCTGCTTTATGAGAAACTTGGTTCTTTAGCTTCATATACCAAACCTGAAGTATGAAACCTGGGTGTGATCTTAGACTCTGAGCTCTGTTTTATCCTGCATGTAAACACAGTCACTAAAGTAGCTTTTTATCATTTGAGAAATATCGCTAAAATTCAGCCTTTTCTATCTCAGAGCGATGCAGAGAAACTTGTTCATGTATTTGTTACAGCAGACTTGATTACTGTAATAATCTTCTTACTGTACTTCCTAAGAAAACAATACATCCCTTTCAACTCGTACAAAATGCAGTAGCGCGCTTCCTAACAAAAACAAAACAGAGAGATCACTTCACTCCAGTTTTAAAAGACCTGCACTGGCAGCCTGTATCTTTTAGGATTATTTTTTAAGGCTCTAAATGACCTTAAAGCACCACTTACATCACAGAATGTCTGTATGTTTATGTTCCAGCACATGATCCTAGATCTGCAGATACTGACCTTCTGCAAAATACAGGAAACATGGAGAGGCTTTGTTCAGTTATTCTGCTTCTACTGTTGAGCTCAATTCCACATTTTATTAGACAGTCAAGCTCAGTGCTCACTTTTAAGAAGCATCTAAAAATGTATCTCTTTATCTTAGCACTTAATTAAAACTCTACATCTTGTGGTATTTATCTTTCAATTTGATCTGTTATTTTCTTATGATTCTAAATGAATACTTATGAATCCCCTACCTGTAAAGCATTTATATATATATATATATATATATATATATATATATATATATATATATATATATATAATTATTATTATATTACTATTATTAGTGAGTGTACACATATAGCCATTTTTTGTCATCCAAAATGACTAATGAACCTACACGTCTTCAGAGTTTTTAGATGTTGCTAATGGTAAAGTAGAGGTAAATCTGGAGAAAAAAATCTTTGGGTAGTATTTTGTCCTACAACTTTCGATTTTTTATATGTAATGTTGTTCATGGTAAAATAGTGGTAAATCTTTAAAAATTACCACTATTTTATTTTCTTTGGGTACTACTTGCTTTCTGTGAGTTTGATAATGTTTTAAACACTTTAGACATCTGGTTCCTATTACTACCACTGTGAGCAATTCTATCTTTGTCTAGTTTCTCTAGAGCAGCGCATTTCACATCAAGCCACTCTGAATGACTTTGTTTACATCTTAACTTTTTAATTATGCAGAAATTTTGAAAAATTGGTGGAATTCCCCTTTAATGTTTAACATATTAGACAGATGAACTAAATACACTGAGATTTTTTTTTCAAGGATCCACAAGTAGTGGATATATAGGTCTGAGGAAACATATGATACATTATGAAATACAACATAACACAGAAATTGTTATCTGTACAATAATCCAGTGCTGTAACAAAAACTGAGAATATATGTTTTGCTGCACTGAGCAATAGAGCTCAGCAGTAAAGGGGGTTCCTTGAATTTCTCTGAGTGGTGTCAAAATTCATATTTATCAGTCTTTCATGTAGGTGTTTCTACTTTGCATATTATTATTCTTCCTCACCCTCTCTCTCTTTCTCTTACTCTCTGTCCTTTCATTTGCTGCACTCACACTAAAACCACCTTCCTTTTGCCACTCCTGTGTGGAGAACAGAAACAACAGCATGTTTTACATGCTCTGGGAAATAGTCTGAGAGATCAGGAGGTTGATGATCTACTCAGGATTTAAACAATTCCAACATAGGCAGAGTTATTAGATTCCAAGATATAGAGCTAACCAGTTGAATCTTGTAAAGCACTTCTCTGTCAGAGGTGAAACATGCTAAGGCAAGATTTAAGGCCTCAGATCTTGTCTAGACAAATACACAGACAAATGGATTTCCAAAAGCCACTCTAGAAACAGACCTCAAACAGTGATGAAGAAGTAGTAACAAAAAATGAGTATTGTCTGCACATTTAAAACACACTTTGTCAAAAGTGAATTTCAAGCAATGAGTCTTTAAAAATGATATTTACACAATACCCTAATTTGGTAGATCAGATTTTGTTAAATATACACCTCTCCACACCCCCAAAAATGGTCAATCAGCCATGACATGTTTAGTGTGCAAAGTTTGCTTCTTTAGTTGTGCACTAAAGCTACAAGGCTAATGTAGCTAACACAGTAATAGCCACTATTTTCATAACATGCACACTGCATGCCTAAATCATCACACATTTGTCTCAAAATATAGAGTTGTTAAGTGTACTTAACATACTTAATATCTCACATAGACTTATACTTATGTGGTTTCTGACACTGTATGCCATACTGTTACCTATAAGAATGGACAAATGTTGCACAGCTAAAATAGGAGCTGCAGTTATATGTAGCTTGAATTTTGTATTATATGTAGCTTCCATTTTTATAGTAAACAGCATGATATACAGTGTCAGAAACCTCATAAGTAAAATGTCTATTTAAGATTACTTGGCAACTGAGTTAAAGTAAGGTAAACACATCATAATTTGCATGATGCTAAATGGGTGGATATAAGCTTCACTTGTTAGCTATTTTAGCCTGGTAGTTGCAATGCAAACCTAAAGATGCAAACTTCTTACACTGCACGTGATTTCGCTCAACATACAATGGACTATATTTGGGTTAAATTTGAGGAAACTGTGCAAATAAAATGTTTTGAGCAACTGCTTTATGAGAAATGAATGCTCTCTGCCAAGAATTCAGTGTTGTTCTACGGAATGAATTGAACTGATGGAGCTGATTTTTCTCTGCTGTCTGGCTGAAAAGCAGGGAGGATATGCTGAATCTGTGTGAATGTTCTTCCATAGCTCCACCATCTAACCACTTTGCATCTGTATGGGCTGCAGACAGGGCATTTCAGGCCCAGACTGTCGTCACAGGACATCAGAGGACCCAGAGTGAGTTAGGCTACTTGTGGATAGCTCCCCACCTCCCCCCGGCCCTTGGGCACTAACTGGCTGCTAACTGCCAGCTCCATAACAGCTCTCTCCGGCCATGGCTGCATGCTTGATAGGATTAAGAGGGCCATCTCCCCATTGTCAAGGGCAGACAGTACCCAATACACAACCAGGCCACTCTGGAGGGGGTGGGGAACTGAACTAGAGACACTGCATTGCTCCCAAGCATACCTGATATGGGAGACTAAAGAGAAAAAAGATAAAGACAAACATGTCATAAAAGTTTAAGGGCAAACAACTATTAGCTTTAAGCTTACAGCAAAATACGTCTTGTAGTAGTGACCACTGGTAAACACTAGGGGGCAAAGTGCATTCAGTTTTCAAAAATAAACAAAAAATCTGTCAGCATAATATCCTTAGCATAGGAGACAATCTTACAGTGTCTTTGTATTGATATTAGGTTGCTCTGATTAGAAATGAGGGATTCCAGTGATGACAAGTGATTCCAACATGATGAGACATGTCTGTTCACATCCCTCCTCACCCCCTAGTGACATAAAAATATAGACTAGTCCTTTAAGCCATCCTTTTGGAGATCTTTTCAGGTTCCCTTTAACCCCCCCCCCACCTCCTGCTCTACCCTTAAACAACTACAGACGTTGACCCCCATTGCTAATACAGCACTTCAAAGTCTGCTAATAGGCCCCCCACTCCCTCTCACTTTTGCCAAGCTGACCCTGCCCACGTCAGCCCCAGGCCACACCCACTCAGTGAATGTCTTTAAACTCAAGGTTACGCCAAGCCTATGGCCTGTCATTGCTTTAGATGCTGACCAAACTTCTACACCTCCTGGAATCTTCTGCATTGTTTTAAGGCTTTTGGTTTGCTGATCCACAGATTTGTTTTACCACTGCCAATATTAACTCACATCGAAGGGTAGAATTAACCCTACCTGAAGAATGCAGCACATTACTGGTGAGTACCTTTCTGGAACACAATCCTCATTTTATTTTAACAAGAAACAGATATAGATATAAACTCTGGAGTTGACTCATTGGTGGTTTACAATGCTATGTCAGTACTGACCATGTTATCTAATATCAGTATTTTTTCTTTTAAATTATCTAGACTTAAAGCATTTATCTACAGTGAGTCCATCATCCTCCATGGCTCGTGCAGCTGACCCCTATCAGCACGGAAACATTAGGATGAACCTGGAGTACTCAGAGCTCTGGAAATCCTTTCATGAGATTGGGACTGAGATGGTCATAACCAAATCTGGCAGGTAATGATGTTAATCAGCAGTCAAATTAAATATCACAAGAAAAAAACGCCATATTACAAAGTGTACTTCTAAAGATCACAGATGTCTTAGGTGTGAGCTTTTCTCAGCTATGTGTAGCCATTTTAATAGGGCAACTGCTCAAAACACTTAATGAGTTAATGTGACTGTATCAGTTCACAAACCTGTTGAGACCCTCATGTCCACACTTTACTTAATGTTTCTGATATCTTTCTATACAATATAGGAGGATGTTTCCATACTGCAACGTCAGTGTGTCTGGACTAGTACCCTATGCTAAGTATGTCATCATGGTGGACATGGTGCCGGTGGACAGTTCTAGGTACAAGGTAAGCAAAAAGCAGTGAAAGGTTAATCATTGCTGCAATTACAAGGTCATCAGATGCCTCCAAACCTGCAGTTTTGCACGTAGGCTTGGAAATTTTGAAATAAACAAGCTAAGGTAGAAACTTTGGCTTTAACCAAACAGGAACTAAAGCCCCCAGACCTATTCCAGAGTACAGACGGCAGTCCTCCTGTGGAGTGGCAATCAGGGCAGACAATGAATATCAAAGGCTATTATCACTTCCTGTTTTTCTTCCCTCAGTTAGGGGTCCAATCAAGTCCAATTCCCCTCCACTCCTCTTAATGCCTTCCAGTAGAGCAATCAAAGTCTATATAGGGCAATCAACTTACTTTACATGAGGTGACCCTCCCATTCCCAGACGTTTGGCCATATGTCTGTTAAGCTCTCACTTTTTCACAGGTAGGCACTTAGAGCAGAAAGGGTAAAAAATACTTATTATGAAGCTTGTGGATTGCAAGTAGGCCTACTTAAGTGTCCAAGTGTATAATAAATCAAAATTATTTGAGTACAAAAGTGCATTTGTTAATGTTAGTATTTCTTTACCTGCAGTGGAATAATGAGCAGTGGGAGGTGGCAGGGAAAGCAGAGCCACAGCCCCCCTGCAGGACATATGTCCACCCAGATTCTCCTGCTTTGGGCAGCCATTGGATGAAGCAGTCCATTTCCTTTCTCAAGCTGAAGCTCACCAACAACCCATTGGACCAGAGAGGCCATGTAAGAACACAACTTTATAACAACATTAGAGGAATAATCCAGTATTTTCCCACTTAATCTGTGTTAATCTCTTAGCCTCTTAATCTCTAATCTCATCTGTTGTATGATTATTGTATAGTCAACAACAATATGGATAATACCTTCAATGTGCAAAAGTATAAAAAACCTGAATCAAAACATTGCTACCCAACGGACAATGAATATGCTGCAACTTCTATTATGGGTGCTATTATGATACATTCTTTAAAAAGATGGTTCTTCAAGGGTTTTTCGGTAAAGAAACGTTCTATACAGAACCATGAACACTTAAACAACCTTTTGCTTGATTACAGGGTTCTTTGCATCATGAAAGGGTTGTTCAGATTGATATTTTCTTTTTGAAAAAGGGTTCTATATTGCACCAAAAAGGTTTTTTTTTTATTATTACAAACTCATATCATAACAATAGCAGAACCCTTTTCAAAAAGGTTCGATATAGAACCATCTACAGCACATTCTCCATCAATCTAAACAACACTTTCATGAAAGAACCTTTTAATCATGCAAAGGTTTCTTTGAGTCTTCATGGATCTGTATAGAACCATTCTCTTTACTAAAGAACCCTTGAAGAACTTTATTTTAAGCTTGTATGTCAATTTGATTGTCTTTGGTAATCAAATATCTGCTACAGATTCAGCAGTTAGATATTAGGTTGATTAGTTAGATTCTAGTGTTAAATTCGATCTATAAACTGTATATAGAATGTATTTGTCTGACTTAATTTCACCCTCTCTAGATCATTCTGCATTCTATGCATCGCTACCAACCTCGCTTCCACGTGGTGCAGGCTGATGACCTTTACAGCGTGCGATGGAGTGTCTTCCAGACATTCACATTCCCCGAAACTACCTTCACTGCAGTCACGGTCTACCAGAACAGCAAGGTCAGTTCCCTCAGTAATATACAGACATAAATACCTCCCTGCTGAGAAAAACAATAACCTAAACTGATTTTCATTTCACTTCCACAGATTACAAAGCTGAAAATAGACCACAACCCCTTTGCAAAGGGCTTCAGAGAAGAGGGAACCCATGGCAAAAGGTAAGGAGAAAGGTCATAGATGCCATAAATGTCAATAATAACAAAGATTTCATCTTAAGGATAAAATGTAAAATATATTTTTTAATCCGCTTGAAGGCACAGAGCACAGAAGAGTCAAATTTGTCCGGAGAGTTCAGCTAAGAAATTGAAGACTTCAGACAAGGAGCCAGAATTTACATGCTTTTCAGGTAAGGGCCTTATGTCTGCAAAAAAACATCAATAGTTCCATGCGATTTGAAGAAAACTGGAGAAGAACTGAGTGATGTTAATTCATATCCATTTCTTCCACGCAAACAGATTTGCCTAGGCTGCCATATGACCCTCATAGAGAGGAGTCAGAAGGTTTGCTACTCTCCAAAGAGGTCCCCATGGCCCAGGATGAGCACATGTCTCCTTGGGGAGGGGAACAGGATCCTGCTCACAGTCTGCACGGTGAAGGAGCAATGGACTACAGCAACTCTGAGCAGCTAGTCCCAGGACAGGCCAGTTACCAACCTCACCGGTATGTCCACTATTATCAAACAGTAACTTCACATTCTTTGAGTACATTACATATATTACAAACTTCAGGATAATTAAATTGCTAAAATGTAAACAGCGTCATCCAGAGTGGTTTAATGTGGAATGGTTTATTGTAGAGAAAGCAACTGTGATTTTCTTTACAATGGTGGTGATAGGAACCAGAGGTCACAGTGTGATGTAGCTTCAGATACTTCAGTCATCTGGTTCCTTTCACCACTCTTGTGAATAATTCTGACTCAGATTGGCAGAACGGCACATTTCACAGCAAATTACTTTGAATGAACAACAATTAACAATTGAATTTAATTTATACTGGTCCACACATTCGCCCTATTCCAGATTAAGAACTGAATATCTAGTACGGGTGTGCTGGGATACAGTAAAACAGTGGACCCTCTGAAGGGCCCTGAGGATTGAATTGGCAACCACTGAGATCATAAAAAGCTGAACCATTTTAGAAATATATTTATTGCATTTCAGAGAAATGCAAAGACTTTTTTGTCTTCATCACCTCATCATATTTATGTTTTCCACACAGCATCCATGAGTTCGAGAGAATGCCTTCACCCTCCCCTTGCATAGATGGCCAAGTTGACCACCATAGTTTCGAGTCAAGATCCACCGACATGGCCACTGTCCCTGAGCAAGAGGTCTCTAGACCCCTGCCCACCATGAACATGGGCCCCACACAGTGCAGAGCTCTGGACTTCTCCATGACCCACAACATCCCTGCTTGCTCAAAAAGCAGGCCAGGCATTAGCAGTCATCCACTATATGGCCATTACAACACAGAGCAACCTTTAGGCCACTGGAGTGGTGCTCTACCCGGGCAGTACTCAAGCCCTGCTTACCCTCATCCACACCATCTCATGTCAGAACACAGCCTGCATCCCTCTGGATATCACCATGGCAATGTGGCTGAGTGGAGTCAGTACTCTCTCTTCCCCTACTCCTGCTGAGCAGAAGCACTGGAACAAAAAGACAATCAGTAACTAGACTGAGACCAAACCAATAGAAAAGAGCCAGATATGAAAAAGACTTTCTTTTTTTTATTTCTGTTATTGCTCCATTCTTCTCTTGCATCATCTGAAAACATAAGAGGACAAGGCAAAAAGAAACTTTTTTTCCCTTTTTCTCTTATGTCTGAAGACACCGATGACAGAGATACAATGTGAAGGACTAGTTTGAATGGACAATAGCAGACTTTGCCAAGGCAAACCACATAACGTGGCTGTATATGTGTGTGAAAAAGAGATTTAAAATGAGCCCAGATGTGCTTATCTTGTACATGTAAAATTAGCTCATAGTGAAGAATTACTTGTTTCATTGTATCTGATTAGAAATGTTCTAATTGAATATTGCCCATTCAGAAGAAATAATGCAATACAATATTGAAATAACTCTGTAAGTGTATTTGACTGTCACACTGAAAAGGTCTTGGTCCATACACAAGTATTGGTTTACAACAAGAAAATATGGGGTGGTAGAAAAGGGTAAGCGTAAGCAAACAAGACCTCATTGCAGTCAATGTTGTGGTAATTAGGAGCTTGGTGTTAGATCCTAAATAAGAGCCACAATTATGACCTTCTCTTCGGTGCGTAATTGTTAGCTGTGGCCGGGACTTTTACTGAGGACGTGGCTGGATGGGTCTGGCCTACTGGTCATCATTTAAGCAGAGCTTATGTCAGCCCACCAAAAGCCACCCAGATAGTTGTAATAGGAATAGTGAGTACACTTTAGCTTGAAGGATTTACAAGCTTGTTACATTTTACATCTTCAAATCAACTTAAATTTTTTTATACAAAATTAAATTCCCTGCAGCATCTTGTGTGCAACATACTACTTTACTAAGGCATAGAACTAAGACATGATTGGAAGATACAGATCAAGCCCTGTACAGAGTACTGTGCAAAAGTCAGAGACCACCATTTATTTATTTAATTTCTAGTTAAACGGCCATTAAGTACAAGTTATTCATTTTTCGGCACCAGGAAAAAAGCAGGAACATTAAACAGAAGCGTCAAAACCTAAATAGCAGTTGTTCAGGAGTTATTGTGTCCAATCTTTGCCTTTATTACTGCTTCCATTCTTTTTTAGAAAATGCTTTTAGTTTTTAAAGAAATCTGCAAGGATAGTTTGTAAGTTGGTAGCATTTAATGCTTCAATACAAGTGATCCCAAACACATTCAGTGATGTTCAGGTCTGGGCTCTGGGGTGGACAGTCCACTGTTCTGAGAACATCAGCAGCTTCTTTGCTTGATCTGCAAATGTTTTTTGTTTGTTTCCTTTTCTCAGTAATAGCTTCATGACAGCTACCCCTCCTTATAAACCCATAGCTTGATTTTCTCTTAGCTTCTCTTAAGCTTTAAGTACTGTTGATCTGATGATTTTCTCTATATCTTTTAATCATTTTTTGAATTGCAGTTTAAGAAACCTGTTTTATTATTATATTTTACCTTTCCCTTCCTTATGCAAGAAGACTATTTTATATCTAATCCTCAGAAATGTGAAAAATTAATAATTTGTACTTAATGGTTTTCACTGGAAATGAAGGGTGGTGTCTGGCTCTGGCTTCCTAGGAGCAGCACTCGGAACAGTGAAAAATGACTTGGCATATCTTAACCCACTTCTTACCTCGACTCCTCATTTTGAGCAGAGATAGTGACGAAGACATACTGAGGTTGAGCGACACCCAGAGATGAGTGAGCTCTCTAGAGGCTGATTCATGGCCCTGCACTGCCCCAGATCCCACAGCGAGCAAGCAAGAACCATGCTAACACAGCACGGCATCATTACTACAGCAGACGGCGGCAGCATATGTCAATGTAAATGTTTAATCGCAAAGGCTTGTAAATGGGGCATGAAGGTTCAGTAAGGACATTTAGTCCATCTACTACTAAATGATTTCACCCACATACAGTGGTACATTCATATGACACAGCAACATTTACCATTAACATAGAGCCTACACATACACTTATTAGAATACCAATATTAATTTGTAGGATTGGGATTTAAAATAACACACACTCTGAAGAATTGGTAACACCATGCCCGGAAGCTTCTAGAGATTCAACTGAAGCATGCGCTGGACTGGATGTTCCAATTAAAATGCTCTTCAGACTGCACCTTGCTCAGATGTGGCACAAGTTCAGCTGTTCAGCTGACCAAAACTAATTGAACAGGCTAAATATATCCTCATTTCTCATAGAAGCAGACGCAGGAAGAAAGTGAGAGACAGTTAACTGTTGTCTATGGGATTAAAAGGGAATTTTTATATAATTAAATAGTTAAGATGTAAACACAGTCACTCAGAGTGATTTGATATGAATTGTTCCATTCTAGAGAAGCCCACAAAGAGTTGTTCACAGTGATGGTGATAGGAACCAGATGTCTGAGGAGTTTAATGCCCCTGAAAGCTGCCTTACAGAAAGTTATTACATGTTAGGCGGATAGATATATGCTGCTTGATATCTGACACATTGTCTTATGATAGTTCTGTGATGATTGCCTGATGGGAGACATTGTTTTACAAAAGTTTTAAGCTTAATACATTTTTTAAAATCCATTGCAGGCAGAGAGGTGCATGTGGTACCACTATATTACCATTACCAACATTAGATTCCATTACAAACATAAAAATTCAGAAGGCATGTGTAGGTTCACTGGTCATTTTGGATCATAAATAAAATGGCAGCATTTATATAGCTCTTATCACCACCACTGTACAGAAAGCTGAGTAGTTTCTTAGTTTCTTACAATGTTACAATGCATAATTTCACATCAAACCACTCTGAGTGACTGTTCACATCTCAGTGATTTTTATAATTCAGTAGTGTTTCCCTTCAAGAAAAGAAGCAGCGGGAATACAGGAATCTGAAGAACCTAGTATGCATACTTTTTTTCGAGTACATCCAATTTATTACTTTTTCATTTCAATCTTCATTATGAGGTCTAATCCATGGCAATAGAATGAGACACAGAGTCTGCTAGTAATAGGCTACAAAATGCCCTTTATTGACCCATGTAGTGATGCAATATGATGAAGGCCTTAACTAAGACTAAGGATAAAGCATTTACATTGATTCTACATAAAAATATAACAGAATGAGCAGAATTTTCAGAAATTATATGAGGAGAATAATGACTTATTTGGTCTAATGTAGATGGCAACGTACTAAACGGAGAGCGTTGAGAACAACCAAATAGAGCTCAATGAGTGCAAACTAGTGGGATTTTAAGGAAAAATTAACATAAAGCATGAATTCAGCACAACCATTTCAGAATTTGGTGATTCCTCCAGGGACGAAACAAAAAGAGCCCTGGTTGGATGTTACATAATCTGGACCATCATTGAATCAGGTACATTCTGTGTTGGATTGTGTTAATGGGAACTAAACTCCTAGTGTAACTGTTTAAAAGCATGAGAAGAGTAATCTGATTTGCCGAGAAGATCCTAATTAATGACCACCCCCTCCTGTTTCTATTCTACTTCACTCTATCCTTTTGCTTATGTGCTTTTGGAGTCACCATCTTCATGTTTAGACATGCACCAGCTATTGTGCAGGTCTTTGACATTGCCTGATGAAGACAGTGCCCTTACTGCGGCATTAAAAAAAAGTTATTGCTAGAGAAACAACAGCTAGTGACATCCAGAAAATGACGGGATGCTTGGTATAGCAGACTGTTTGAGGACTGTTTCTTCACCGCAGCTACTGGCCAACTTCAATCTTAAAATCAACACTTTCAACCAAGTACCCAGGTGTGAGTGGTGGGGGTGGTGAGGGGGTGCAGAACACATCCTAGCAGGCTGAATGCTGGTGCCATTAGACAAATGGGGTGAAATTACCCCAAACTGAGAATGGAGGTTGAGAGGAGGTGTGAAACAACCTGTTTACTTCAGATTTCCTTTTGATCAAGTTCAGTTCAATGCTTGACCTTCCCATTTGGACACGTACCTCACTGTCTCTACATAAAGCATGAGTGGATATGTGAGTTTAAACATTACTACGGCTAAGATTTGACTAAGATCAATCATCACGCTACAACTATAAGTAGAACTGTCAGAAGGACAAAATCCATGTGCCTCTAATACTTTGTTGACATTAACTTTGTTGCTTGCTTTAACCTAAGAGTATTGGCCTTTAAGAGCATTGTAAAAAGGCAGGAGTTTGAAACTGCTTAGTCTACGTCAAAGCACAATTTACCAATTAAAATAAGTGGAGATGCACCAATGGTAGCTCATTGTCGCCTAAATGTTCCGCTCTTACAATTAGTGCAAACTTCAGTTTAAAATATCAGTCAAATCCAAACATCTGTCCATGCATGAACAGCAATTATCTTCCATTATCAATATCATTGTGCATCTATAAAAATAAGATCACAGTATTAAACAGTGTTAGGCCCCATAAGCATATAAAATGCACAAAGCAGAAGTGCGCCTTGTATCTGGAATGCCATTATTTAGTCTTCGAGTGACACCCAGCTCAGAGCTTCTGAGAAAAACTTGTGGTGCATCAGTGTTGCTCACTTGTGGTGAGTAAATGAACAGCCAGTGTGAAACCATTGTGAAAAACAAACACCAGCACAACCTCTTTTAGTGTTGGGCAATAACACTCAGTGCATTTTGTATTATTTGTTTCTCTGCTCATTAACTGACTGTAGAGCTAATCAAATGTTTGATTTTCCCCAAATACATTATGTGCTGGAGTGTTACCAAGCATAGATGTCGTGCTAACACCTTTTCAGAAACATGAAACAGCAGCCCCTTGAACTTATTTACCCACTAAATCGAAAGACTGAAAAGGCTGAGTGACAATTGCGCAATTGCTATTATTTTTAGATTCTCTAATGCAGCGCACATCAGCCTGCAAGACACCAGCCACATTCACAGCCCCACAGTCGGATGCTGTCATGCTTATCTGCACCTGTTTGTGCAAATCATCCAAGCAACGAGACCATCTGCAGCCCATATGTCCTCGTCTCACCCATGTCATCACATTAACTAGCTTAACAATGCAGGCTTATATCTTCAATCAAAAAAAGAAGCTGAAATCACACCTTTGGGCAATACTAAATCTAAGCACATCTATTATAACTAATTAGAAAAATCTCTCCCATTTTAGGCAGCACATACTAAAAGGTGTCAATGAAATTGTGGTGATGTGTATTTTGCTCTGTCATTGTTACATATTGGTTTTGTTAGTTTGTTTGTGCGGGAGGTGGTTTGCCACAAAGGACAAACCTATTTGTCAAATGACTTCTTGTGTCCTCCAGAGGGCAGTGCACAGACCCTCCTATGTATATTCCCTTTCTGTCACCAGTTGCTACACAAAGTTCTCTGAAATAGTTGAGGCACACTGCCATGATCTGTCCATGCCAGCAGTGCAGGGAACACAAGCACTGCCTTGACTCCCAAACAGCTCCTCCTGAGAGCCCTCACAAATAGCTGTGGAAAAGAGGATCAGCACGGCACCATCCTCAGCACTGCTTTTCCAACTAGCTGGACCCACACATGTATTTTGAAAAGAACATGTACGCAGATGCCAAAACATTAAAGCTTACAGCTATATTCCCATTATCCTAAAGCCCAATATAAGCCACCATCTCCCACATACAACTAAACAACTACTAATACAATTTTAACAACAGCACGAAAAAGAAGCAAAGTCTCTCCTTGAGAAGTTCCTGTAGGTCATCGGCGCATAGGTTTCTTTTCTTAGCAACTTCATTAAGATACTCTAATTACTTCCTTTCTCCAGGGCACAGCCACCATCACAAGTGGTGCTAATAAAGATTCAGAGATTGAGTAACTGTCCTCTTGTTCCAGATCCAAAACTCTGTCCGCAGACAGACACACAGACTGCCTTCCACAGTGTTACATCTTAACATCTTGTGAGGATCAATGTGTCAATAAGACAATCAAAACATGCCTCTCTGACAATGACATTTGGATCTCTGTCTACATCCATAAGAAGTAGGAAACAGTCAATTAAGAGAAGTAAACGTAAATTTTATTTACTCGCTCTGTACATGATGGGTCATACCAGCAAGGGTGTTAACCATGGGAAATATTAACATGTAAATGGTATAAGAAAATAAAAAGGCACAAGTTTCCATTTTCAACTAATGAGACCATGTGGATACTTAATGAAAAACAATGGCACAGTAATACTGTTAATGTCATTAAAAAAGGAAACATTTTGAAAACTTAAATTATTTGAGCATTCTTGAAAAAACTGGGGTATTGCTTGATAACGATTAGCCTAAAACTGACGCCAGGAGAGAGAAACTATGAATAGGTTTATTTCACTGATGCAATTGGAAAATAAGTTCAACACTGAGAAGAAAACAAGATGACACAAAGCAGCATTAGACCTAAGAGGGAAGAAACCTCTTGGCCAGGAGGTCATGCACAGAGGCCACCAGCAGGCATTTTATCCCTTTTTAGAAAATCACCTTCGGTTAAAGATTTTACAACAGTTTATTTCAAACACACAGTAAATGCTCGATTCAACGGCTTGCTTAAAAAGAACAAAATCCAGGGCTGAATGCTGTTGTTACTACACTAAATTAAAAATTTTACAAATGAGAAAATTACATACTGTATGTTGACTATTGTTTAGCAGAGAACTGCTGATGTGCAATATCAGCTGATGACAAAGCAGGTGATATTAAATTCTTCTGACAGTGGGGAAAACAGTGGGGGCAAAAAGGCAAGGCAGAAAGCCAACACAAAACCCAATTCTCAAAGGGTGCATATACTACCTCATGATTGCTTGTGCGAATGTTCCTGCTTGCATGAAAGGCATAGATTAGGTGGCGATTTCATCATAATATTCCAAACCTACTCTCATGTCACCGAGTTATCGTGACTAGACTCTCAGCTAAGCCCTTCACCATTCTAAAGTTAAAGCCTCCAAGCCACAACCATTACATTACACTACACCTGATATTTACATATCTTGTGTTATTATGGCACAAATGAAAAGGCTACAACTGTAGACTAGTTCCACATACTCTACTTGTCAGGAAACAAAGGAGCACTGAAAGTCTGCAACTAGACTGCTTGACACACAAAGGTGAATGAAAAAGAATTAATATTTCACTCAAAGGAACCCGTCACTGCAAGACTCACACCTCTCACCGCTCAGAGCTGTTCATAAACCTGTTACTCTCTGCAGCAGGGACCAGTCAGTCTCACAAGCGTTCAGCTTTACAGAGGGGAAGGGTGTGTAAATTGGACCACACAAGTTAAGGGCTGGCAAAAGCTCGTGTACTCCAGAAGGTTTACTCGTCTGCTTCTCACTTTGAAGAATTTCTATTCCCTTTCTTTTTTAACAAAATGTATTCTCTCAAATATGTTTGGCTTGCAAACAGTCAAAGCTAGCTTTTCAATAAAAGGCAAGAAAGACTAGGCGTCACAGAGTGAGCCACAGCACTCACATCTCACCTTGGCACAGGGACAGATGGCCGACGGCATGGGACTAACAGGACATTTAGGGCAGACAAAAATACTGATTCGCCTGTAACCAGGGAAAGAGATTAAGAACTGTTTGAGTTTGGAGCTGTAAACAGTCAAAAGCCGCGCAAATGGTATGCTCGAGAGACACGCTGTGGCAGAGCCTCAAGCAGGCAAGCGCGATTCAGATGATGACGACGTGGGGCAGTCAGCAGGTTGAGAGAGCGCCGACAGAACAAGACCCAGGTCATTCACTCTCATCTGGGTTTTGGGAATCCAATATTTTCACATGGGTGAATGGGAACAAGCCTCTCCGGCCATTTACTTCGCCTTCCCACTGACCACTGATGTTCATCCGTGTCACTTTCACAATGTCGCCCACCTGCGGAAACAGGACAACAAAAATTAATTACTCAAAATTAGCTGTTTACATTACCATGTGCTTTCCATTCACCTGAAAGTTGTGGTCACTTATCAGCTACTGAGAGAAATCTTCACTACTTTCTAGAACATTTAAGAATGTACAGATAAATGGCATCCTCACAGAACAGCTCTCTCCTCACATCTCAATCAAGTAGAGACATAAACCACTCTGTAAGTATTAGCCAAATTATAACATGTTTACATTTTGGGATAAAGATCTAGGGACCTAAATTCTGTGGGACAATGTTCAGAAAATCTGCAACCCTTACAAAAAGTTACAATTACATTTGTACAATGTACAATTACAATTACATTTCAACACCAAACACATTTTTAAGTATTGTTTTTTGAATCAACACTCATGATGCCCATAACAGAAACACTTGCTGGGGAGACTCCTCACCCTGACGGCTGCCGATTCAAATATAAATCATATATAAAATAAACGTCATTACACACTGCACTCAAACATGACACACTCAAAACACATGGTATAACAGATAACCCAGAAGAGACTGTTTTCTTGAAGAAAACAGATCCAAAAATAGTTGCTCTAATTTCAAGCTTTCTGCTTTAGACCAGGACACATTGGAGTGCACACACTCAAGAGAAAAGAAAAATAATGCAAAAAAAAAATACGCAGGGCTGAAACTACACAAAACAGACTGAATTTCTGGATCTTAAATATTTGTATCTTTTAATAACTTTACCTGTCCAGGTTTAGACAACACAAACTATCACATAGACAGAGGTTTTCCTGTTTTATGACAAAGACCCTATAAGGTGATAACTACCAAACCCTCCTCAAAAAAGCCCCACATTTTTTTTTTTAAATCAGTGTGTCATCAGACAAACAGTCAGCCCTTTAGTAGGCAATGTACCTATTTAGTGCACCATTTCCAGACAACTCAGAAAACAGTCGTGGCATTTATCCCCTTGGCCTTTTCCCCTCGTTTTGTGGCACCTTGGCGCTGTCTGCCAAGAAACATCACTACAGCAGTAATTTGTCAAAAAAGACCAAGCAGTTTTGTTAAAATGCTTTGTAACAGAGTTATAATAAATAAGGATAAAAAGCTAAAATCAACAGGAGGCATTTCTTTATATCCACTACATTAGCAATAAAAATGGCAATATTAAACCAATGTTCTCAACAATGGCTCATGTGGTGCATGGCCTACTCGTACACAGGTGTGAGTGGGATAGGACAAAGATTGAGAAAATTTTGAATGAGGGCAGACAGGTGAACATAATCAAAGAATGAAAAAACTGAAAAAGGTTTTGAGGTCACCCGAGATTTATTTTAAGAAACTAGGTAATAACTGGTCACAGCAAATATGCTCCACAATATTCCACAAAATATTTTCTTTTTATATTTCTCAAAGGAAAGTATTTATCAAATTAGTTGAGTTGCATCATGTTAGACTACTTATGGCCAAAATCAAGTCCTAAGAGAAACACACACTTGTAGCTATGATTCATTTTTTAGCCACTTAATTCATCACTTCCTCATGTTGGTAGAAGCAGAAATCTGTCTTCTTTTTATTGACTGAACTGGAACAGGGGGAAGGGAGCTGGAACTTGCCAGGTAAGATGATAGCCAGGTAGAAAGAATGGAATCCCACTCGGCACTCCAACTAGTCCTGAACTTTTTTTTATAACAGCAAAGCATTATCTTCAGCATGATTCAAAATATTCCATGCTCTACGGGAGCTTTTCTTGCTTTTTTAGATAATTAGTTGAAATATCTATAATTTATGGGAAAAATTTAACAATATTCACAGAAACCAGAAGCAAAAACCATTCCTCCGTTTGTCGTTGTTTATGCTGATTGAAAAACATTATTTTTAGACTGATAGCCAGTGCTAGTGGTGCAGAGCATTAAAATGACTATCCAATCACTTGTACTCCAGCTCATATTCTGAGAAGTTAACTTTTCAATTAAACAGTACCCAAACCTAAAATCTATTTAGTATGCTGTAGTTTTGCTATGTAGCTATTACTTGAAACAGCCATATAAAAATATACATAAGTAGGAACAAAAGGCAGTGAGAGCAGAGATTAAGGAAGCAGAACAACCATCGATATGACTGGTCAAAAGGACTTTCCTGGATTGGTACATTAGCTTTACTGCATCATAATTAATTTGCATAAGGTTAAGAACTTCTCGGCTTGACACTGTCGCATAGCGCCTGCCCGTCACCAGTGTCAGATATGGCGCAGACTTCCTGAGAGATTTGTAGATTGCTAGCACAATACACAGACAGAAAAACCAAATGAAGATCACAAGAGGCTACTAGGTCAAATTCATAGGGTCGATATATAATAGGCCACATAACGACTGAGAGACTGGACAGTATGCTTCACTCTTTTTACGAGGACGCACTCATGTGGAATTGTGGGCTGATGCTGATATTTTATATTTTTCATGTGAATATCTGCCGATGCTGATGCATGAGCATTACGAAAATTGTAATGCTTTAATACTAATTAGCCTAGGTTAGCATTACAGAGAAACATAGCCTTTATTTCTTTATTTAAAATCAATAAAATGCAGATATTTAAACGCAGTGGTGTTGCTTTAACACTCTGCTCTTTCGCAGCATGATAAATAACTTATCTAAAAACCTGTCCAATGCAGCTTTTTCTTTTTAAAACAACCTTCTGCCAATATCAATATGATTCTGATCGTGCAACCCTACGCTTCTTTCATGGCATTACAATACGATTCAACAGAGCACAAAAAAAAAGAAAAGCATACATGGATCTCACAAACATATGCTATGTGTGGTGTGAGTTTTTAGACTTCATTCTTGTTGTGTGATACAATGTCTTGTCAAACCTTTATACAAAAACTTTCCCTAACATACAGAAGGCATAAGTTCAATTAGTGTTTCTAGTTGAGAATCTAAATATTGCCAGACAGTGACCCGTGGGCAGGCAACCACAATCAATCTTGGCTCAACTGACAATATCTTGGGATCAAAATCATTTTCCCTTTCAGCTAAAAAACTCCTGAGCCACCAACAAAAACAAACAAACAAAAGAAAAAAAACACTGTTCAACACATCACTGCACCTTCTACACTCTCATCAGGAGGGCCAAACTGAGACTAGTCCCCAAGACTTGTATGATTATGAACATTCATGTTTCCTTTAAGTAGTGTAGTAAAAACCTGTGGAGATTTTATACACAGGGAAAAGCAGCAAGACACTGTGCAATGCTATGGTCAACATTCAGCTTCTACTGGTATGTCACATTCAGACATTAGAGTCTCAGATCCTGTTGCCTGTTAAAAATAACACTTCAACTTCCCCTTAGGTAATAATCACTTCTAGAGGACAGCATGAGAACGGAAAAGCTGAAATACACCTTCAATTATGACTACAACCTGTGATACTCTGAAATCATGTTATTTGTAGGGAATAATGGATAAAGGACCTACCTCTAGTGCTAAGGCGGTCTTGTCATAAGCACAGGGCACTCGTTTCTGGATGGCTCTGGCCATAATGGGCCCATTCTGCATGGAGGGCAGTGGGTTGATGACAGCACCAGGTGTACCAGAGGGTAAAGGAGATGGTGTTTGAGGCTGAGCATAGGCATGTGCAGGCTCGGGGATACCGTAGCTGTTAGAGTTGCGGGCACCATGGCCTGGCTGCCCAGGATGGGGCGATGGCCTTACCAGCTTTTCAACATAGGGTACAGGGATCATACCAACACGCCCTTCCCTGTTCTTGGCACTCCACCACTGCTCCTCAGGCTTGTCCAGGATAATCAGGATCTCACCCTTCTTGAAAGGAAGGTCCTCTGCATCACTGCCAGTGAAGTCATAAAGAGTCCGCACATACTCCGAATTCTCATCTCCAGGTCCACCGATTGTCTGTATAGGACCTGTGCTGGGGTACCTGTTGAAACATAAAATCAAGCTGACAAACATAGATAGGCACAAAGCTAAAATGTCATTTAACCTTATTCATTCCATGCGTAGAGGTGGTGCATCAGTATCAATTAGAAATTTAACGGCATAACGTATCGTATCGCAAAAAAGATCATTTTGTATTGTTGTATCGTGATCTGCATGTTAAAGCTTGTGGCTGATATGTTACCTTGGGGTAACATATTAGCTTGTGGTTTCAGAATTAGATTGGAAAACTAAGACAGCTTTTGTTTCAAATATATACTTTTCTAATGACGCATGCTCTAATAAACTAAAACATTAACATAATTTGCCACATTTCCAGCCAGTCTTAGTCAAATCAATCAAATCAAGACACCACTGTATCGTTGCAAAGTGAACTATGAATTTTGTGAATCGTTATGCCCTGATTATGGGTATTTGTATCAGGTCAATATCAGGGGAAATAAAAAGAATGAATCGAATCCGTTACTTTGGCAAATGAATCCTGAAATGCCATACTGTCACACTGTGTAATGTGATGCTGTTTCTTCCTGTGGGGTTATAGAGCGTTTGAGACTGATAGCCTACTTTTAGGTGCTCATCTTAAGAGATTCAATTAAAAATAGACACTTTTTGGGCTTGGTGGATTTTAAAGGAAAAATATATGATGAATATCAATATCGGCCAATACTCGAGTCTTAAATATCAACGCTGGAAAAGAAAATGCGGTATCATGCCATTTCATGGAATTGTGAAATTACTGATTCCATGCTGCACTTTTTATTGCCACTTCCTAAAAAAAAAAAGATTAATACTGTATGTGTATTTAGAAATGATAAGTGTAACACAACTGAGTAGTGCCACTAAAAAAATATACAGAATACATTATAAAGTTTCTTATCTTCAGTCTGAATATTGCACTACAGCCAATACAACGTATTCCTTTGGTGATGTATTGCAGTTTACCTCCAAGACTGCATTAACCAGGTCACTGGTGAATGAAAAGCCCATCTGAGGCCAAAAATATGCATCTAGATAACAGCAATTGCTGTACTGTGCTTTATGAGCATACTGGGCAATCTAAAGGGTTCCTGATGAAATTTCCATTGTGCTCTGCTTAATTAACACATGTAAATAACAAAAAACAAAAAAAAACACAAAGACCCGCCTTTAAATCATGCCACATGCAAATATGACGTGTTCAGCTGCATCTTACAATGAGTTGACAGGTAATCACGTTTTTGTCTATAAAGGGCAGCACCAATTTATGCAATGGTAAAGGAATCCACTGTCAAGTGCAAACGTGTTCCTATGAGGGCTCTATGAGTGAAAAATAGGTCATAATGTCCACCTCTGCTGTAAGTCTGAGAACAGAAATTTCCAGTTATTTTCACTGAAAACCTAAGAGAAAGAAACAGAAAACGTCACGGTTACAGTGGGCTAGCGTAACGTGCTTACCTTGGTGCAGGCTCTATCAAGGTAGTTGTGTCCAGGTAATGTATTTTGTAGAACTCCAAAAGCGCGGGCAGATGTTCAAATTCTTGGTCGCCTATCTTGAACCTCTTGCTAGGCAAAGAGTTGATGATATAGTGGGAGACTTTGGAATTCTCGGACACCGACAGCACGTAGTCACCAGGACAGGTGGACGAATCGCGAACCAAAAACATGCCATGTCTTTGTCCCTGTAACCTACTCTGCGTCTCCTGCCTTGAAAGAGACCCGAAATACCAACTGTTTCGGTCCGATGAATCGAACCGCGCCGACGACATGTCTGTTGTGAAATAAATAGACTCGAAGCAACAAAAAAGAGGTAACGTGTATATATATATATATATATATAATTAAACAATAAATTAATCCTACACCGTATCGAAAAGGTAACGAAAGCCTATAAACTGTGAATATGACCTAACGTTAATAGCTCGGACACTGAAGAGACAGCACAAGCTGAAGCGCAACCTGATGGTTCACAGACAGGCTGCGACTGGCATGAACCAACTTTGTTGCATTACCATCGCTGTGTTTTTGACGCCGACAAAGGCAATAGTTGTACGTTTCGCTTTGGTTAAAAATCAAAAAACAGCCGAACCGTTAGTGACACAAATCAAGAGAATACCCATTAAAGTTCCCCTTTTTCCGTTCCCTCTTCCGCGAAAGTAGCAGCTAGCTAGCTAGTTAATGAAACAATATTAGCTAGCTAGCTGTCTCAGCCACTGTCACTTCACGAAAGAGAAAAGGTCGCCATAATATTTGAATAAAAGCCAGTCTACATCACGGTACCGAGCGATACAAGGCAGACGCTTCCATTTATTAAGTCCTTGCGGAAATTTCACGAAAAAAGGCACAAAAGAGCGGTTTGTTACGCTTCTGCTCCGGCTAACGCGGCTAATCAAGACTCCCGACAGACTTCAGTAACGTTAGCTAGCTGTAACAAAAATGGCGGCCTGCAACACGTCTTCACACATACACACAAATGAATTCACAAGTTAAGTAGCTATTTCCTTAAAATATCAAAAAGTTTTCCACCGTGAAAGTATCACCCGCTGCGTACGCGCGTCTTTGACCCCGAAAAAGCGACCTAAGCACGGCCTTCTCCGCTGAATTTTGTTTCTCCGAGTTAGTATCAGGCGGCTTCAGCCTTCTCGTCTACCCACTAGATAGTGAGGTTGAGAAATGGCGACTAGAGGGCGGGTCTGCTCGCTCGCTCGCTCGCTCGCTCCCTCTCTGCTGCTGCTGCTGCTGCTGCTTCAAAACGAGGAAAATAGGCGTGTGAGGCGCGGCATTCCTCCCTAAATCACCATGCTGTAGTTGTGGCGATGGTGACTGACATCCCTGATAAACTGTTACGAATTACAGTAAATACACATGGTGGAGATTCAGGCCTAGACCCAACTTTAAAGCCTGTAACGCTTAAACTGCCACCAACAGTGTTACTCTACTGCGCTGGTTTAGGTTAACAAGGTTTTAAAAATCAGGGCATCAAGTTCAATATGGCTTTATGTCTACCCAGTTTTAATACGTAAAGTGGGCCCAAAAAAGCATTGCACCCAGAAACTTAAATAAACTGCTATATACATCAACCGAATATAACATTATCATGAGTTTTCACAAGTTTTTCATTCTCAGCACCACAAGAAAATGTTCTACAGTAATAATGTAAGATCTCTCCAGTGCTGCATGATGCATCTATTATGATCTAGTATATTTTCACCTATGTTCCTGTAGTATAGGCTATTTTTTTCACGAGGAATGATAAAATTGCTTAAAAATAAATCTTTAACATTCTTACTCTTATTATTATTGTTGTTACTTCGTTATTATTATTTTCTGAAAAGATGTGTGAATTATTACCCTTGAGCACTCGTGTCCTCTCACCCATAGGTTTTCATCAAGACTGCAGTGTGAAAGTAAGCAAGTAAGCAACCAAGCATTAATGAAGCACACTGTGGTAACACAGGTACACAGATGGGTGACAAATGAAAGAAAACAACCTTAATAAAATGGCTTAGTTAGGTGTTGAACCACTATAGGAGCCAGAGCAGCTTCAATGTGCTTTGGCATAGATTCTAAAAGTCCCTGGAACTACTGGAGTGATGGAACATCTTTCTTCTACATGATGTTCCCTCAGTGGGTGTTTTGATGATGGTGGTGGGGAGAGCTGACTAACATTTTGGTCAAAAATCTTCCATAAGTGTTCAGTTGGACCAAGATCTGGTGACTGCAAAGGCTGTTGGATTAGATTTACATCATATTCATGCTTATCAAACCATTCAGTCATGTTCACCAGACATGCACCCGCCCACTTGTGGAGAATATGGCGAAAAATGACTCATCTGACCAAATCACTTTACTCATCTCTGTAGGCCAGTGCTGATGGTTTTTACACCACTATATGTGCATTCATCTTTGTAATAAGGAGATTGCACTCAACACTGCTGTGATATCTGCTCTTGCTGACACAGTCTGATCACTTGCTGCATCACACTAATGCTCACAGAATGTGTTTTCAACCACAATTTCCAGCCCTATTTAGTGATGCCTTTTCAATAGATCTAAATGCAGATGTCACTTTAGTCACTGTTCCTGTTGAAACATTAGCCAGCTGAGCCGTTTTTGTGAATGAAGTCAATTTGAGCTTTTGTTGTTGCCACCTCAACCTAAAAACAAGGTTAATTGGACCTGCTCAACATTTTACATACACCATAGAACACAATGGCTAGTATGCTAATTGCTTAAATGTATCATGCAGTGCACCTGCAAGCATCTGCACTCCTTATGTTTCTATACTCAATTATTCAGGTTTTTTCTTCATCACTTGTCTGCACATAAATTCAAAAATACATTTTTAAACTACATTAACTAATTTCCCACTGTGGATAAAGCTAGAAGATTATGCTCTAAAATGTCAATAAAACAATTTAATAATACAGTGCATAATAACAACAACAACACTAATAATAATAATAAGAAGAAGAAGAAAAAGAGTTTTAAAATAAACCAATTTGTTTCTTTCAAATGTTTATTTTCTTTCTTTTGATATAATTAACACCTAGTAGAGACAAAATATTGAAGCCTTCATTCTCTTTTTTGGCACAAAGAAAGATAATAAAATATGTAGTATTGTGATACATAGTTAAGTATTTAATAGTTTAGTAACACTACTGTTAAAAATGCAATTAAATAAATCCAACCTGCCAACTGACCTATCTAGGCACCCCGCCCACACACACACTACCCAGTCCAGACTGCACATATGGATGCTATTCCTGCTGTAGTTTAAGTGTTTCAGGATGATTTTGATTCGCACAGTGGGTGTTCTCTCCCTACTCTCTGTATGCGACACAGAAGGCTCCATCCTGTCCTTTTTACAGGCTTGGAAAAAAAGTACCCAACAACCAGGGTCCCTGGGGTTGGTTGGCATGGTAGGTGCAAAACATCAGTCTCTAGCGGCCCCCTTATATGAGGCCTCAAAAGAGTTTCACTGTAAAAAAGGAGCAATGCTGTAACTTTGTGTCAGATGTTTCTGTGTGTGTGTGTGTGTGTGTGAGAGAGAGAGAGAGAGAGAGAGAGAGAGAGAAAGAGAGAGAGAAAGAGAGAGAGAGAGAGAGTGCAACAAATAGAAAAATGGAGGTAGAGAGTAGGGAGGTCAAGGAAAGAAAATGAAAAATCCAGTACATTTAACCATGCTTTATATCTGAGACCCTAAAAAGAAGATAATATTTTATTATTTACATTATAATTAATGTGTAGAATTTTCTGTAGAGGACTTACATCACCAGGTTAAAATCATGCTTATTAGCAGTTCTCTCAAAATGAGGAAAAGTCATAAAATATCAAGCTAATAAAATATTGCTAAGTATGTCTTTTGATATTTTAAAGATGGTCTGGACCCCAAACAAAACATTTTACATTTAATGATGTACACCCACTTTGAAGAAATTCATGTCAGCTAAATTCCCAACCCAATGAGCTGGATAAGAACATATGAAAAGACAGCTAGTATTAAAGAATGTAATGGTGTTTACTGTTGTAAGTAGGTATTATTTTGAGTCTATGAACATTACACAGCAGAGTAGTAACATCAAGTAAATATTAAATGTTTAATTTCCTATAGCAGCTATACTGGTTTGTCTTGTGTACAGGTGATGATTTATATGATCAAGTGCTGTCATAACAGTGATGGACTTAATGTAAAATGGATTTACTCATTATGTTTATTAGGAATGGTGATTAAATAGTCAGAATGAAGCAAGAGAATTCATTCATGCTTGTGTAATTGTTACATCAAAGGCCACAGTGGGAAAGGATTTTTTTTTAAATGTGAAAAAATAGTGTACTGCGCATTTGTTGTGGAGAAGGCCCATCTGTTTTTAACAGCAGAATCCAAAACCTTGATGTATTCTTTGAGTACTTGATGCAGTCAGTGTGACTCTCGTTCAATATACTGTGTGGTATGTTAACTGTACTTTATATTTGAGTAGAAGAGCATTCAGCCTTTCTTTCACATAACTGTACTTCTCCAAAAGGGCACCATGAAAATCATTAGGAAACTGTAAAGATTCACAAACATCACCCACATTTTGCCTGTGTTTGTTAATTAGGCCCAGTACTGTGACAGATGTATCATTTATTCTAAGGTAGACTTGCACATTGAAAATTTAAAAGTGTTTTAGCTAAATTTAAAGATGAAATAAAAAACACTAAAACATATTAATAATAATACAGAAAAATCTTAAGTATTGAGTAACTTCTAGAAGTGCAGTGGAACAGAACAGTGGAGCATCTATCACTGTAGGAAGGGTAATTTGCAGTACTCAACATAAAATATCGAAAGTAGAAGCGACAAAATGAAATAATAACAAGATGTGAATGAATCAGATGTAAGCGAGTAGAAAAGTAGATTACTTTTCTCATAGATTAATATAATAATTATATAATCGGGCAAGTACAAATTTGAGTACATATGACTGTGTAAACATAACGAGTTACTATCCACCTCTGGTAGAACCGGACAGAGCCAGTGGAGTGGGTGGGAGGGAGGAAGGAAGTTAGCTAGCTAGCTAGCTAGGTAGGTAGGTAACTGGCTGGCTCAGGGCAACTCAGTGGCTTTCGGGCGGCAGTTGATTTCACTGTACGGCCTGTTATCAGCTATGTCTGGTATGGAGGTCCCACCTGATAATGACTGGAGGAGTCCAGGATTTCGGCAGAAAGTAGTGGCACAAATGTAAGTCTTCTAATTGATGCACGCAAGAATGAATCAGTTCGCGCGTTTCAACTCTAGTTACTGGTCTCCCAGCTAACGTTAGCTAAAGCTAACAATATTGGCTAGGTTAAACTTAAATAGCTAAAAAGACACGAGGATATACGACACCACTAATAAAATATGACAATGTTGCACTCGCTACGGTTTAGCATATGTGTCGACGTAGATAATAAGCTAGATAACGTATTATTAAAAGCAGGTCTTTGTGAAGTGAGCTAGCGAACGTTAACGGTAGCTAGCCTGTTTGTTTTTCCAGTGCTTTTTTACGTTAGCTAGCTAGCTGTTAGAAAAAAGTACCTTCTTTCCTGAAACGATGTCTTTGGGGTAGTGTACAATAATTGTTATCTAGATTAAGATATGAGTTATTAAACACATGGTTTTCCGTGAAAAGATTCACTTGTTTAGCGTTAGGAATCGTTGGGATGCTAATTAGGTAGCAGCAACCTGACAAGAAGGAAACTACATAACGTTAACGTTAGAAGGAAAGTGTGAATCACGAATTCTAAACATAAAATATACCCTGTGAATTTTGTTATTTCCAAATTTGTTGACATTAGTAGCTTTTGCTCCTTCTGTGGATCTGCTGCTGAAACTTTGACTCACCTATTTTTTCAGTGTGAGAGAACGAATGACTTCTGGTCCAACTTATGTGCTCACATTTTTAACCCTGTCAAAATTACTTATTCCTTTAATCTCAAAGATATTATTTGTTATTACAATAACTTTACTAACAAGCCTCTTGAGCATATTGTTAATTTTTTCATTCTACATGCTAAATTCTTTATTCATAAACAGAAGTTTTCAAATTCTCAGCCAACCCTGTCCCTCTTTTTAGTGGAATTTAAATCACTACTTCAGTCCTTACATCTTGTAGAAACTAAGAAAAATAATAGATTTTTGAATTTCTATGACCAGCTTTATGGAGAGAC